TGAAAAGGAGTTTGAGTAACTCTGGATGTACAAGGCACATTGTTTCCCAAAGAGAACTTATCACAGCCCAGCCCTTTATCAAAAAGTCCTGAGGCAGGGTCCTTGGGGACCTGACAGCTCTCCATGTCCATTCCCACATCCCACACTCCTTTTACTTTGACTTTTTCTCCTTCCCATACCTTGGGTTGGGGTGAGGGCTGTTGCACCTAGGCTCCACGGTATTTGCTCTTACAAAGCCTTGCTGAGGCATTGACCCAAACCTTGAATTTTAACAGGATGAGGAGGGGAGAGAAATGTCATGCTGGGTGTAGAATGAGCCACATGTAGCTTGAAGGTAAACATTTCAAAAAGGCACTTGGACATCTGGAGCATAATACATGAATGGGGTCATTTGACTGTACTTTATATAAGCGGAAACAATTCTGACTGTGGTTTTGGGGGGCACCTTCCAATGCTCTTTTTTCTCTTTCTCATTATTTCTCAACTTCTGACCTGGTGGTCATTGGGCCGAATGTGTTGGCCACGAGTGGGTGTGTAATAGAAGTGGCCCAGTCTTCATTGCCATCAGGGCTAGAAGGCTTCCTCTAAGTTAGGTCATCTTCTGGCTGGGACTTTGCTGAAGACCTCAACATGGACATGCCAACCATGGCACTGTTCATGGTCCCTGGGACAACTTTCCCTCTCTGGACAGCGTCTTGCCAAGCCTGGAGCCATCCCCGGTGTCTCTGGCTGCCTCTATCAGGAAGTTAGGCTGTCATTAATTACAAGGAGAACTTTGGCAGCTGAAGGAGCTGGTCTTCCCTGACAGCTCTGTGGAACACAAACCACAGAGCCGTCTCTTGGCCAAGATCCACAAAGGTCCTTCCCCTTCTTTGATTCCCCAAAGCCTCTCTGTGGGGATAATCATCTAAATCTTGTAGAAGTCTGATTACCTGGGATGCTTTTGTCTGTGATCCCCAGGGAGATGCCATCCTGCACTACACCTCTTTCTGCACAAGGACAAGGTTGTGCTTCTAAATACCACCCCATTGAAACCCATCACCTACCAGGCTGGGTCAAGAGAGGTGCAATGGCACATGGTCTTGTCTGCACAGACTTTGCTAAACTCTTGTACAGCACACCTGGCCCTAGAGCTGACCATGCATGTCTGTCTTGGACACGTCCTACGCATCTGAGGAGTTCCCATTCTTGGTTTGGAAAGTGGAGAGGATATTTTGCCATCCTGCTCTTCAACCCATTCTGTGCAAAGGGACAGAATGGGCTTCCAGGTCCCCGGGGTCCAGCAGTCAGCCAGCCCTGCTTTTGCTCACATTTTATTATAATCTATCTCACCATTTCATTTATGGTAGCATTGGCAGGACACCTGAAACTCCGCTGCCTTCAAGTGGTTTGATGAGCTCTGCTGTTTGATGAGCAGCACCAAGAGAACATTTTGGCTGGTTGCAGCTCCCAAACAAGATGTCCTGGCCAGTGGATGTGACAGGCAGGACATGTTTCATCTGTGTGCTCTCCAGCGCATGCTACTCTCCACTGCCTGCAGAAGAGGAATGTGTTGGAGGGCAGGGAGGTAGGTCCTACCTGGGAGAGACAGCAGAGGCACACCCTGGAGAAAAACCTCTCCCAAGGTGAAAGGGTGCAAAAGTGCAGCAGAAAGAGCATGTCCAAAGAAGAGCAATGAAGCTGGTGAAGGGTCTAGAGAACAGGTCTGATGAGGAGTGGCTGAGGGAACCGTGGTTGTTTAGTCTGGAGAAAAGAGGCTTGAGGGGAGACCTTATCACTCTCTACAACTACCTCAAAGGAGGTTGTGGTGAGGTGGGTGTTGGTCTCTTCTCCCAAGTAACAAGCGTGTGGTGGGCTGACCCTGGCTGGAGGCCAGGTGCCCCCCAAAGCTGCTCTATCACTCCCACTCCTCAACTGGACAGGGGAGAGAAAATATAATGAAGGGCTCATGAGTCGAGATAAGGACAGGGAGAGATCATTCATCAATAACCATCATGGGCAAAACAGACTCAACTTAGAAAAATTAACCTATTACCAAACAAACCAGAGTAGAGTAATGAGAAGTAAAACCAAGTCTTAAAACACCTTCCCCCACCCCTCCCTTCTTCCCAGGCTTAACTTCACTCCCAATTTCTCTTCCTCCTCCCCACCAGTGGCACAGGGGGATGGGGAATGGGGGTTGTGGCCAGATGGGAATCTCTGCTCCCCATCATCCTCCACAGGCTGCAGGTGGAATCTCTACACCCCCTCATCCTTCCGCCATGGGCTGCAGGGGGACAGCCTGCTTCACCATGGTCTTCACCACGGGCTGCAGGAGGATCTCTGCTCCGGCGCCTGGAGCACCTCCTGCCCCTCCTTCTGCACTGACCTTGGTGTCTGCAGAGTTTTCTTACATCTTCTCACTCTTCTCTCTCCATAAAACCTGCTCTTTTTTTTTCTTAAATATGTTATCCTAGAGGCACTACCACCATCGCTGATGGGCTCGGCCTTGGCCAGTGATGGGTCTGTCTTGGAGCCGGCTGGCATTGGCTCTGTCAGACACAGGGGAAGCTTCTGGCACCTTCTCACAGAAGCCACCCCCTGTAGCCCCCTGCTACCAAAACCTTGCCATGCAAACCTAATACAAAGTGATATGACAAGAGGAAATGGCCTCGAGTTGTGCCAGGGGAGGTTTAGATTGGATATTAGGAAAAATTTCTTCACTGAAACAGTTGTCAATCACTGGAACAGGCTGCCCAGAGAACTGGTTGAGTCACCATCCCTGGAGGTATTTAAAAGGCATGTAGACGTGGCACTTAGGGACATGGTTTAATGGTGGACTTGCAGTGTTAGGTTTACAGTTGGACTTGATGATCTCTTCCAACCTAAATGATTCTATGATTCTTTGAAATTAATTGCTTGCACGCTGAGGTTCAGTACCATTTTCAGCCCTGGGTACAACCCCCTCTGTCCAACAGCAGCAAGTTACCCCAGTTGCTGGTGGCTGGTTTATACCCAGTGGGCAGGTGGCTTCAGATAAGGACAAATCCTAATGCCTGTCCCAAGGAAAAGCCATGTTCAGGCCCCGCATCCTCTCCTGGTAGATCTTGTCGAAGGTCTCACTCTGTGCCACTGTGAAATGGTTCTCCCAGTCCCCGCAGATGCCTGAGGAAGAAGCGTTTTGGGCTCTGAGCCCACCTCAGCACGCAACCCCCCCTTCTGCTCTGTAGGCACAAGGGGAGAGGCTCAGCTCTTGGGTCCAGCTACCACCATGAGGGGGCTGTCCAAAATGACAGATGAACCCCATCCCTGGAAACATTCAAGGTCAGGTTGGACAGGGCTCTGAGCAACCTGATCTAGTTGAAGATTTCCCTGCTCATTGCAGGGAGGTTGGACTAGATGACCTTTAAAGGTCCCTTCCAACCCAAACTATCCTATTATTCTATCCCATGATTCTATGGACCCCATTCTTCAGACCCAAATGCACTGTGAAGTGGCTCTCCAAGACACCATTGCTCTGGTTGTCCTCATGGGGAAGGACACCTCATGGGGGAGGTCTCCGTGAGGTGTTGTGATGGGATCCTTCTTGCTCACCCTTCCTCAGGAACTGGCCCTTCGTCTGGTCCATGATGTCTGCAGGAAGCAGGACGGAGTTGCACATTGGGTTCTGCCGCATGGCCGTGAAGGACGCATTTTGCACCACTGATGAGATGGCCTCATCATCCAAATCCTGCCCCAGAAACCGGCAGAGACGTCTCACACTGCCACGCAGGTCCTGGAGGGACAGACAGAGCCTGTTAACACCAAGTGGCTTGTGACACACCAGCCCATTTGAAGTTGAAGTGTCTGCCTAGGTGACTACCTGCTTCAGCTCTTCATAGGTGATGAAGAAGAAATTCTCCATGTCCTTCATCTCCATCCAGCCTCGGACGTGTTCGAACCAGGAGCCATGGGGCACTGATGGGAAGCAAAAGGCAGTAGGTCAGGGCAGCGGATGTGCAAGGCTGAGGAGGGTTCACACAAGGTTGGGAGCAGAGCAGCCATGATGCAGGACAGAGCAACGGTGTCCAGGGAGCAGGTGGGACTGGGAGGTTCAGCTGCAATTGCAGGTCAGCAATGGATTCTTCTCCAGCCACCTCCACAGTGGGAAGAGGCTGAGGCTAGAGGTGTGCAAGGCTCATAGGCAAGGTCCTGACAGGGCTTTACAGGGTTTTTTGGCCAAGAGTCCCTGAAGACATCTGAAGTCTGCAGAAGGCAGGGAAATCTGCCTTCCATCTGCTTCAAAGCACAACAGGATGTTGTGGACCTCTGTGTCTCTCCACACAGAAGCACTCACCTTTCTCCTGTGGCAAGCCTGGCTTCACAGCCATCGTCAGTGGACAGTAGCAAAAGACCCTTAAGTGATGGAAGACACCACCCACCCCTGTGCCCAGAGTAAGCCCCAAACCACACTCACACTCTCCATTCAGAAAGTCCCTCAGGAACTGCTCAAAGGATGTAGGATCCTCATAGCTGTTGCACATCTTGGAAAAGTAGTAGTAGGAGACAACAACATCTCGAGGATCCCGTAGGGTGTAAATAACCTGGGGTAGAGTGGGTACAGGAGTGACACGCTCCCAGTAGGGGAAGGGGAGTTGCAGGCCCTGGCACTGGGGTAGATCTGAAAATGGAGGGGTCTGCTACACAAGAACCAACTCTGTGCTAGACTCTGTCACGTAGACCTTGGGCAGGGATGTCCATGAACACACAAGTCCCGTAGAGCCCTGGAGACTCTCCAAAATATCCAGGAGGGGAAGGATGTGAGATGAGGATCTGCATATTTCCATCTGGAGGGCACAGAGGACACCGACCAATCTCCTAGGCCAACATCAAGGTCCTCACCCAACACCCCTCACTCCAAGGTTCCCCAGATCCTGGGCAATGGTCTTCCCAGCACCCCTGTCCCCCTTCAAGCTTTGCATGGGTGCCCATCACACCTTGGCACTGGAATGGGAGAAGGACTTGGGGAAGATGTGCCTGGGGAGGTGGCAGGTCAGCAGGCGAGGCGAGGGGTAGCTGAGGGCTGACTCCAGACCCAGACGGGTTGAAAACCAGGGCATGCGGTCAGAATTGAGGACAGCTTGGCTCCAGCCAGGGCAGCCACGGCTACGAATGAGGCTCAGGATCTCGGTCATCCACACGGTGCCTGCCAGGGAAAGCAGAGATGCCGGGCAGAGGACCTTGCCTGGGGGTCAGGATGGGAGGACCTCTCTGTGCCACGGCTCCATGGTCAGCAGCACCCTTAGCACTGAGTCTGTGTTGAAGAGATGGTGCTGCCCTGCCCATGTACAACCACTGCGGTAAAAAAACCCCAAAACATTCCTGTTCCCCACCATAAGAGAAGATTCACCCTCTGAACAACACCTGGAGATGTTTCCAAAGCCCTCACCCCTCTCCTGCCCCTCTCCATCCTTCGCCAGTCCCTCAGTCCACCCCTCGTACCAGACTTGGGGTAGGTGACATTGAAGATGTCATCATCCCGCACCAGGAACTCATTGTGAGTGAAACTCAGGCTGTGCTCAGAGTTGTAGGCAGGAGGGAATTTAATGCCTTCATACGTCACGTAGTGGACCGGCATCACACCTGGGTGGGGATGGGGTGCTGCAGTTCTGCACCACTGTGATGGGGAGGGAGAGAGATGGGGTAAGGGTGCTGATGGCAGGTCAAGAAACCTCTCTCCCCCATAGCAGGTCCCAAACAGAGGCTCCATCCCCTGATGCTGGCTTTATGGGATGTGTATTATGGGATAACCCACCCAGATACTCTCCAGTCATTGAACCATAGAATGGTTTGGGCGGGAAGGGACTTAAACACCATCCAGTTCCAGCTCCCTGCCATGGGCCAGGACACCCTCCATCAGCCCAGGTTGTCCAAATCCCATCCAGCCTGGCCTTGAACACTTCCAGGGATCCAGGGGCAGCCACAGCTTCTCTGGACAACCTGTGCCAGGGCCTCAGCACCCTCACAGTAAAGAATTTCTGCCTCAGATCTCATCTCAATCGACCCTCCTTCAGCTTCAGGCCATTCCCCCTGTCCTGTCACTCCCTGACCTTGTCAACAGTCCCTCTCCAGCTTTCCTGTAGCCCCTTTAGGGACTGGAAGGTGCTCTAAGGTCTCCCTGGAGCCTTCTCTTCTCCAGGGTGAACAACCCCAAATCTCTCAGCCTTTCTATATAGGAAAGTCCTTCCTCATGGGGACCCTACCTCAAAAGCAGGTTGTGAGGATGGGGGACTGCTGCCTCGTAGGGTGTTTAAGGAGCTCTACAGCTAAATTCCTGCTAAGGGACCAAGCTCCCATCTCCCTCCCCTTGCTGCCCCAGTGTTTACCTGCCCTCACAGCCTGGAGGGGTGTGAAGCAGCCACTGTTGCAGGATCTCTAGCCCGCCAGGTGGACAGGAGGTAGAACTTCCCTGTGTGGTAGCCAAAACCCAGCTTTGCTCTGCTCCAGGAGCGACAGGTCCTCGGAGGGAGAATAAAAAGGAGGAGGGAAAGGTTTGCTATCCTTGTGCCACCATTCTGGAGCAATGATTAACAAGATCCAAAGTCCAGCAGGCATCCCTTCCCCCTTTGGGAGCACGGCGGGGTGGGAAGCCGGTGGTCTGTGTCCCCTGCCCTGAACCCCAAGAACCCCACTTTTCTCCCATGCCCCTACGAATTCCCACCTAACCCTCTCCCTTTTCATCCAAATACACTATTAAATGATTTTCACTGAGCTGAAGATCCTTTCCCAGTAAAACCCAGTAATTTTAAAAAATCCATTAAAAAATGGATTATTATAATGGCTCATTAAAAGAAAAAAAAAAAGTCCCTCCAGAAAAGGCAGAGA